ATGGATTCGGCTAATTTTAAAAATTTGGGAGTTGTTCTACCTGTTCAACCTACAATCTATTGTGATAATATGTCAGCAATTGCACTTAGTGCAAATCCTGTCTATCATTCACGGAAAAAATATCTTGATACGGATTACCATTTTGTCTGAGGGAGGGTGCATCAAGGTGATTTGAAAGTTGAATATCTCCCACTGATGAACAGACAACTGATATTCTAACTAAGGGTTTGCATAGTCCAATATTCTCTCAACATTGTTTCAATCTCAAACTAGGTTACCCTAGTTGAGATTGCATGGGGATGTTGGCCTATATTGACTTAGAAATGCCACATAATCTGCCATGTCATCAATAATGTAGTTGAGAGTTAGTTAGGGTGGTTATATGTAGCTTACAAGAAAAGGAAGTTAGTTAGGCTACAAGATGTATAAAAGGCTGATTCCAGCCTATCGTGTGTACTAAGAATCCTTTCGATTAATACAATCTCTCTATCTTCTTTCTACTTTCTCTCTCAAGTTTTCTTACTGAGTTTTTCTTCTTTATTTATGCAATTCAATTGCTTCTGTTAAGAGTGCCAGGCACCAAAATCAAATTTGGATGGAACATGTTGATTAGATCTGGTAATTTCTTACACGACTCGTTAACATGACACGTAAACGATATGAAGGTAACGGGTTTCGTGTCAGCACGATAACTAATCGGGTCGTTAACGGGTCACACGATAAGAACTCGTTAATAACTGGTCCTTAACAGATTTACACGAAAGTGACACGCAGGTAACTTGTTTTGACACGTTAAGAAAAAAGTTATTTTGATGATTTTAATTTTTTGAACTAATAAAAAAAATCACTGTAAAATGATTATGTATATATTGGATATTAAATATGTGTCATTGTATTATTATCAATATAAAATTAAAAAATTTAAGTTTTATTTATTTATTTATTTTTATAGTATACAATAGACAAAGAGTGAGATTAAAAAAATTATAAAACACATTAAAAATAAAAGTATCAAGTAATTTAAAAATATCAAACACATTAAAAAAATTATAATAATTAATTTACAAGTGCGAAAAATGTGAAAAAATATACAAAAACTCGTGAGCGCATCCTCTAAGCTATGAGTATTGATATATCGTCGTTTGAAGTTTTAAAACCATACAAACCCTCATGAATGATATTTTTAAGGGAGTTCAAAATAAATAAAATTCATAATCATTAATGTACAAGTAAAAAAAATGCGAAAACGTATATAAATGTGCAAGGTTCCTCAACCTTGAAACACAAGTCCCTTCATTTTGCATATCCTTGAACATTTGATATTTTATAATAATGTACTAATGTTTTTCACTACACTCTTATTTTGGAGTATGTAATACTTGAAAGACAAATGTTTTTTTTTTTAATATTTTGAAGTAATGTTTATGTGATAATGTGGTATGCATATACTAATTTAATATTATGTTTTTTTGGGTCAAATTATGTTTTTCATTTTCATTATTTATTGATTTAAAATATATTTTATTTAACAGGTAACAGGGCGAGTCATATTACCTGATAATATTAACAGGTCGATTTCAGGTCGGTTCATATTACCCGTTTACTTTAACGGGTATTACACGACACGATCCATTAAAATATCGGGTAAGAAAATCCACTTTTAAGTGATTTTCATTAAAGGAAAAGAAAAAAAACCTTTTAATTGTTCACCCTACCTAAAAGTCATCGTGTATCCTTACCTCCTTTCATTTTTACCAAAGAGTAAAAAAGACATTTAAACTCTTTGTGGCAATCTCTACCCAAAAAAAAAAAAAAAACCCTAAAATCTCTCTCAAACAAGCCTATAGCAAATCAAGTTCTAAACTTCTCAAACACCAACAAAATCACTCTCAAGCATATGTCCTTGACTCCTTAGCAAAAGTTCTTGAGTTCCAAGTTTTATGAGAAAGATGTAGGCTGCTAAAATCATATTAGATAACGAATCGAGATGATTTATGTGTTGGAGAATATTAGGAGATAAAATCTGCACAAGAAGAACATACTTATGAAACTTCTCTATAGTTGTACACACATTTAGGACAAACATATGAGACTCGAGGATTAGCATTTACAATGTTTCGTCGCATATGTGAAGCACATTGGTTGACCAATAATTTTTTGTGTTTTTGAACTTTATCCTATTGTCCTTGTTAACTAATGAAGAATGAAGCTCTTGATGAACACAGAGAGGGAAAAAGCTTAGACTTTAGAGAGAGAAAGGGAGGGAAAATTGTAAACTGAATATCTTCTTGTTATATTTCTTAACGACCAAGTAATACATGTGATATGGTACTTATACAACTCTCTCAGCAACACTATCTAACTGTCTAACTAACTAAGCTAACAATCTTCATAAAAGTGGCACAATCCTAACCATCAATACTTCTATACTATATCATCCCCCCTCAAACTCATGCTTTGATAAACCAAGCATGAGATTGTTACAATGAGTGTGAAATAAAGGAGCACTTAATCCTTTAGTTAGGATATCTGCAAATTGTTCTTTAGAAGAAACAAATTGTACAAAGAGCTGTTTCTTGGCTACTCTTTCCCTGACAAAATGAACATCTATTTCAATATGCTTAATCTCCTGGTGTTGAATAAGATTGAATGAAAGAGCAATAGCTAAGAGATTTTCACAAAATAAAACTGGTGCAACATGTAATTAAACTTGCAGAAAGTTAAGAAGCTGTTTAATCCAGTCTAATTCAGCAGAGGTAGTGGACAAAGCTCTGTACTCAGCCTCAGTTGATGATCTAGAGACAGTTTGCTGCTTCTTTGAAGATCATCATATTGGATTACACTCCAAAAACACCACTAAACCAGTGGCAGATCTTCTATCATTTAGGTCACCTGCCTAATCAGCATCACTAAAAGCCTTTAACTGCAAGTCACCTCTAGTATATGCAATGCCATACTTTTGAGTACCCTTCAAGTACCTAAGTATCATCTTCACAACTGTAAAATGAGCAGTCACGGGATTATACATAAACTGGCATACCTGATGCACAGAGAATGCAATGTCAGGTCTTGTGAAGGTTAAGTACTGCAAGGCTCAAACAATACTTCTATAGAGTGCCCAATTCCCATAAAGTTGACCATCTTCACAAGTCTATTGTAAGGTAAACAGGGACTATCACAAGGTTTAGACTCAACCATTTCAGTTTTGTTTAATAAAGCTTGCACATATTTGGCTTGTGACAAAAATAAATCAGTTGCAGTCTTTTGAATCTGTATGCCTAGAAAATAATGTAGTGGACCTAAGTCCTTGATGTCAAACTTAGCAGGGAGATCATGAATAACCCGTTGAATAGTAGGAGTAGCACTTCCAGTGATGATAATATCGTCCACATATAATAAAAGCACAACAATCTTGTAACCAACTTGTTTCACAAATAAAAAAGAATCAGAATAAGTATTGTAAAACCCAACTTTGGTAGATAAGTGGTAAATCTTTCATTCCAGGCTCTAGGTGCCTGTTTCAGACCATATAAAAACTTATGTAATTTGCAGACCAAATATGGATGAGTAGCATCTTCAAACCCATATGGCTGAGACATTTAAACCTCTTCCTGCAAAATGCCATGAAGAAAGGCATTTTTAACATCAAGTTGCCTTAGTGACCAATTAAACTGTGCAGCAAGAGCTAAAACAAGTCTCACAGTGGTAGGTTTGACAACAGAGTTGAATGTTTCTCCATAATCAAGGTCTGGTTCTTGGCTAAGCCTTTAGCTACAAGCCTAGCCTTATGCCTAGCTATAGTTCCATCAGAATGCTTCTTAATCTTGAAAACCCACTTGCATCCCACCAAGTTCTTATTAGTTGGCAATGGTATTAAACTCCAAATTCCTTGATTATGTAAGACTTCAACTTCTTCTTTCATAGCATGTAACCAAACTGGAACCTTAATTGCGAACTTATATGTAACAAGCTTTACAAGAGACAAATCAATTCCTCCAGAATGTTGTAAAGTTGACAATAGTGCCTTTTTCTTAATTATTCCACTCTTGCTTCTGGTTTGCATTTGATGCAGATTAAGAGGAGGCACCTTTAATACAACTTGTAAGGTATTAAGAGTAAAAACATTCTCTGATGTAGAAGAAATAGAACCATGGGTATGATCAGACCCATTTTGAGAACAAGAACCAATCTTAGGTACCACATGGACTATAGAAGATGAAGCTGATATGCTAGTAATGGACTGAGGTGGAGTATGCATTGATATAGGACTTGATGCATGTGATATTGGTGACAATGGTATAGGTAATGTAGGAGTAGTACTAGATGAAGGCATGACAGATGAAACTGGAAAAACAACATTGTTATTTGAAGTGACCACATGTATAGGGCAAGAAGGAAATGACACAACAGGTTGTATGTGTTTATATTTCAAGTGTATTAATAAGTCTGTATATGGGGACTCTTGTTCATCAAATACAACATGTCTCAAAATGTAAATCATTTGTGTAGACACTTAAAAACAGATGTAACCCTTATATTGAGATGCATAGCCTAAAAACACACATTTGGTAGTCTTAGCTTATAACTTTGTGCTATTGTATGGCTTGAGTAATGGATAACAGGTACATCCAAATATTCTCAGGTGAGAAATAACTGGAACAGCTTTAAACAGGACTTCAAAAGGTGATTTGTGGTTCAGTACTGGTGTTGGCATCCTATTGATAAGATATGTGGCAGTTTGACAAGCATAGGACCAAAATTTGGATGGTAATTTAACTGTTTGAAGTAAAGTAACTGTGGTTTCTATAATGTGTCTATGCTTTCTCTCCGATAGACCATTTTGTTCAGGAGTATGTGGACAAGATTTGTGATGTGAAATGCCTTTATCAGCAAGAAAAGACTGAAAGTTCTTACTGATATATTTCCCTCCCCCATCACTCTGTAGTATTTTAATCATTGCAAAGAAGAAGTTAAGAACATAATTGTAGAAGGCAACAAAATTGGGAAAAACATCAGATTTATTAACCAATGGAAATATCTGGCAATACCTTGTACAATCATCTATAAATGTGACATAGTACTTATAGCTATCTACTGAAATACATGGAAAAGAACCCCAAAGGTCACTATGCAGAATCTCAAAGGGATTTACAGACTTATTGACACTATTTGGAAAATGGTAGTTTACAAAACTTGCTATCCAAGTAAGTTGTACACATAATGGGAACATTTGTGGTTTTACATGACAAGTGTGCTTTATTTAACATCTGAGACACAATATTATTGGATAGATGTCCTAATCTATTATGCCAAGTGGAGGAAAGAACAAGCTAATGAAGATAGGTCTGAGCTGATGATGTAGCCTTGGTTATGACAGAATTGGAAGAAGCAATTGGGATGGGATAAAGTCCATTACTGCACAGCCCTTTGAAGAGAGTCCTCCCTGTAACCTTGTCCTAGATCTAGAAACAAAAAGCATAGAAAATGAGCCAACAATTAATGTCCAAACAAATTCTATGCATATAAAGCAAATTTTGAGTTAACATGGGAACATATAGCACAAAATTTAAGTTGACTGGTTTCACTGTGGTATTAAGAACATTTCTACCAATATGGGACACTTGCAAACCTTCACCATTTGCAGTTTGAACTTTGAATAGTCTCATTTGATGGGTAAGGTGATGCCAAAGACAAATTGGAGAGATCTGCAGTCATGTGATTAGTGGCTTCAGAGTCAGTAAACCATACTTGAGGAGATTGCTGAGAATTGGATGGTGGAGAGAAACTGGTCATAGTAGTGTGCATAGCCTGCATGGATAGATGTTGAGATTGATATTGTGGAGATGCTATAGAACAACCTGACATTGGATATGATTGTCTATAAGGGGATAACATTTGTCCATGAGTAGACCGAGAGGTAGGACCAACATAATTGGGACCTTTATCATTGTAGAAACAATACCATGTAGTGTGGTTATTCATGCCATAGATAAGACATTTTGCATGCTCAGGAGGTTTGGAACCACAGAAAGGTGCAATGTGTCCTTCAACATTGCATAACTGATAGATTTGAATTGGAGGTGCAAATGGATTGGTATAGTATTGAGCAGGTGATTGTCCAAGTACACCTGAATTAGTGGTAGGAAGAACATGAGTTTAAGTATGAAAATGTGGTCTTGAATTGTAAGACCTGGAACCCTGATTAAACTTTCCTTTCCCATTGTTTTTATTACCATAAGCATGTTTATAACCCTTAGAGACAAAGGATGAATGACCTGTTGATTGTTGGAAACAAAATCCTTTTGATGCAGAGGGTGCATTACCAGCAACCATAGCAGAAAGAAATGGTACATTCGAGGAATTAACAACAATTACTTCCTCAGCAAGTAATTATGATATAAACTCCTTGATCCTAATAACACTTTCACGACCCTTATGACACACCTAAAAGTATTGTATTCAGGTGGCAGACCATTCAAAGCAAGAATGATAATATCTTCATCAGTGTTGTAAACAGCTGCAGCAGACAAATAATTTCTGGCTTCTTTAATTCGATGTAAGTACTGAGTAACAGTATCTGACCCTGGCCCTTTCTGTATAGTTTGTAAATTGGATTTCATTTGGAAAATACTAGTCCTAGAGACTGTAGAAAACTGTTCTTTCAACGTAATCCACAAATATTTAGAGCTAGTGCTCCCAATTGCACAAGACACAACAATAGGAGAGAGAGTAGCAGTAATTAACACATAATAGCACGATCATGCATCTTCCAAACAATAAGGGCATCACTTTCAATAGAAGAAGAGTCAGATGAACTTATACCAGATTCACCAGACTGTGTAGTATGTTGATCCGGACATGGAGTTGAACCGTCGACAAACCCCATGATACCATTACTTTCCAGCAGCAACTGCAATTGAAAATGCAATTTAGGTAATTGGAATCATCAAGTTTCACACTAACCGAAGTGGAAACTGAAGAAATCAGGGTCGTGATTAGAGATTGAAGAATCAAAAGTTGCGACGCAATCACCATTGCGAAGCAGAATTTGATTCACAAAGCTTGATTCTGAAGTAAAATTTCACCGAGAATTCGGCACAAACACTTGGTGTGCACTAATTGAGAAGATACTAAAAAAGATTGATCAAGGATCGCGATCAACCAAACCCTAGATTCAGGAGGGCTTACAAGAAGACGAGCTGAATTGCAGAGAGAGAACACGGTTCAGGAAGATGAAGATCAAATCTTGACGAGCGAAAGCAGAACAAGGATCGACAGATCATGCGTCAGCAACTATGGCGATTGATACCATGTTAACTAATGAAGAATGAAGATCTTGATGAACACAGAGAGAGAAGGAGCTTAGACTTTAGAGAAAGAAAGAGAGCGAAAATTGTAAACTGAATATCTTCTTGTTATATTTCTTGACAACCAAGTAATACATGTGATATGGTATTTATACAACTCTCAGCAACACTATCTAACTGTCTAACTAACTAAGCTAACAATCTTAGTACAAGTGGCACAATCCTAACCATCAATACTTCTATACTCCATCACTTACCATATTTTCTGTCTAATTATTCGTGTTCTTTCTGCGGGAAATTGATCGAGAAGTTAACTCTCCCCCGGCCAAAAATAAAGGTTTGTGTTTGACATATTGTTATAAACATTAATTTCTCTTTTCTACGCCATGGGGATATTGGTTTCTCCAATCTAAATTTTTTTACAAATCTCAATCTTTTGGGTTGACAAACAATATACCTGCTGTATTGATTAGTACGTACTACGTAGTTAATTACACGTAAACAACTAAACACCTAAGTAATCTCGTCCCAGTATCAGTATTGCATGGCTTATTAGGTCTATAAATTGAAGTTTTTGGTATGTTGATATATCAACGCCCCTAAGCCTGCTCCTAGCAGCAAATACGTGAATGTGAAGCTTTCATTGCTTACATGTTGCTTCTCTCTTGCTACCAATTGGCATTTCTCATAATGTCATGCAATGCCATTGCCACCAATTACCAAATGAAGAACCTCAACAAATTGATAAAGTCTCGCAAATCTGGAAATCCTCTTCATTCTAAATCTTGGGATCACTTAGATGTCGCACCAGACCACTTGTCTCCTGTTATGGCAGATCACAAGAAGGGTTGATGGAAGCTGATAGGATTGATGCCTTGTCACTTGCCAGGACAGTAAGGAGTATTTTTTTTAAAATGCAGGCTATGTTGCTGTAGACTGTAAACATCAAAATTTCGGTGAGTAAATGTTCACCAACACATTAGAATATTGACACGCTAGAGGAATTTCATGTTTACAGACTCTATAGCTGGGAGAGAATTGTTCTACTATTTTGTAGAGTCACCACAAAATTCTTCAAACAATCCTCTAGTGGTGTCATTACATGGAGGTAAATATTGCTAAACTTACAGCAGTAAAATTATCATTGAATAATGAGTCTCATGTCAGAAACATGACTGAATGACATATAATTTTATTGAATGGTTCAACTTTTAATTGGAACTGAGACGTTTTTTGATAAAATCCAAAATTTATACATTGGATTGCACATGTGGTAAAATATCGAACAATGTAGGTGTGGTTAGTAATGAACTATTGGTCGGTTTCCAAAATCTTGATAATTACTCCTCTATCTTCTGCAACAAGTAATTTCAAATGTAAATAGGGTAAAGTAATATCGTTGTCGACGTCACAGGACCAGTAGGATGCTCACTTTTTGGATCTGAAGCCATGGAAGAACTAGGACTATTCAGAGTTAGTAATGACTACGCTTGGAACAACGATATATATGTGGCATTTTAATTAATGAGTTATCTTCTTTCTTAATTAATTAATGTAAAACGTTTTAAGTCGATATTTAGGAGAAAAACTTGTGTGGGACTTAATGTGTCACTGGACAATGCCTAATGACACTACGAATCAATCAAAATTTGACACGTGATAAGATTTAATTATGATTTCGTAATTATAGTTTACCTTTTAAAGATTTCATAATTACATAAAAACTGAAAATATATTATAAAGATTAGCAATATTAAGAATAGACTTCAATTACCCAACCGGAGCACTCCTCTACCTGAGAATTCACCCCTCCCTCGTCGGCGCCTATGTGGGTATTGTTTGACTAAACTTGAAGGAATAAACTTTATATTTTCCATTCTCAAAGATTTTCCTATCATGGTTAGCCCAATTCTTTGAAATGAGAAATATTTTGTGTTTGCAGAAGATGGTTCATACTGGAAAAAAAAAACAAAAGAAAATGAATCTGGGTTCAATCATATGTAATATTTTGCATGACCAAAGTCTATACAATTCCAATTAATCAATTGAGAGAAAATATGAAGTGACGGGATTTCAGTTCTTTGAAGACAAGGGAGATTTAACACATAAACTGGAGGAATGTGATGAACTGTAACAAGTATCCCTTGTCAGCATTTTGAGTCTTACAGAACATGATCAACCATATCATTATACTACATTTATAAATTTTATCATTGCCAACATGTAGTATTAATATACAAGTAAAGGATGCAAGACTTACTTGCAGAATTAGCCGTGAGATCCAGGCAACAAACGCAAACTCTAATGAACAGATTGTGGCCAAACCTTTGCAGTGATCTTCTCTTCTCTAGGACTCAGAATGATTTCACTCTCGATAGGGCTGGTGCATATAAACCTAGTGTCTGATAAATGAGACCATACTGCAGTTTTATTTACGTGGAATCACAACTGCTCCACCTATCGTTGTAGTAGTTGTGTTTGCAGTTTTAAGAGTTTGTAATCAACTCTTATTCACCAATGAAAGAAAAACCATCTTTTACAAACTTAGTTGCAGAAAGTAAATTTCGTCTCATAGAAGGTACATAAAGCACATTGTTCAACACTAAAACATAACTAGAAGAAAACTTTAACATGACTTGACCAACAGATTCTACGTTAACTTTATTTCCATTTCCAACATAGACATTGTAATGCACCTTACTTTGGCCCTTCTGGTTTTGAAATCCCTGCAGTGAATTAGTTATATGCACAGAACAACCAGTGTCAAACCACCATGAATGTTGAGGAAGAAAAACCATGTTTGACTCTACTTAACAAAAACATTTATAATATCAGTACCTTTCTTAACAAGCCAAGCTTTAAAACCAGCACTCTCATTTCTCAAGTGCTCAGTTGAACCACAATAATAGCATTTTTTGAAATTGACTTTGTTAACTCTAAGACTAGTACTCGAGGAGGCAACATCTTTCTTAGGAGGTATCACACAATTGAAGGCATGTTTCTTAGTGCCAAAATAGGAAGAACCTGGGTTACTTGCAGTCTTGCCAAACGTATTATTTCCAGGCTTTTTGACACATACATTTTGCCTTTTCCTTTCCCAGCTTGCACCAGATTCACCATCTCATCCTTACTCTTCTTCATTCGTTCTTCCTCTTGACAACAAATGGAAATCAACTCATTGATATCCCATGTCTCTTTCTGAGTATTGTAGCTCATTGTGATCTGTTCATATGCATTTGGCAGAGAATACAAATCCAAATGAACAAGGAATTGGTCTGCAATAGCTACATCCATTGCATTAAGCTTGTTAGACAGATTGACAAGCTTAAGCAAATGCTCTCAAACACTCCCAGTACCATCAAATTTGGCACTGATCAAATCTGAAAGATACACTCCAGTCTCAGCCTTATCAGACCTTTTGTAGTTTTCTTCAATCTTGGCCATGTACTGATGTGCGAAGTCACACTTTTGAATGCCACCATTGATGTGTTCCTTCATTGAATTTTGCATGATCAACAAAGACATATGAGCCCTCTCCCATTTGGCAAATGATTTTTTCTCTGCAGTTGTGCTTGTCTCAGTTAAAGCAGTTGGTTAAGTCTGAGTGAATGCAATGCTGAATTCCAACATACCAAGATGCATTTCAATTTGCTGCTTCCATGTCTTAAAATTATTCCCATTCAACTTCTCAATGTTCATGAGATTGAGCATGTTGAAACTTGCAGTCAAAACATCATTTGATTTTGAGACTCATGATTTTGTGACAAAGAAGAGGAACTTATTATTCTTTGCCACCCAAAAACTACGGAACCAGTTACACTTTTGAGCAAGAAACCGTCCATATAATCATGATTATGAATCTCAAATGTTGCATAGCTAATTATATACACTAGAATATACATAAGTTCAATACCTTTGGGCAAGAATGAATGTATGTGTGTGTGTGTGTGTATTGCTAGTTTCATAACTTACTGTATAATAACTTCTGGCCAATCCTAGTAAATAGTTTCTTTGGAAAATTTTCTACTTGTTAGAGCATATAAATCACATATTGTTGTACATTATTGAATCTTACATAATCATGAGAGCAATTAAACCACTTTGGTGGTCCTTACAAGTTATTCTGATGATCCACTTAACAATGAAATATTTTTGCAATATAAGATGCTAAATTATATTGTAGTGTCTGATGAACATAATGAACCATTCCATTTCTCCCTCATCTGATACGAACTCATAATGTACCCTATGATAAAGGATCTTTATAGAATGACAAGTTATCATTTCAGTGGTTGCGAAGAGTAAAATAAAATAAATGTCTAGAGTTTGCAGAAATTTGAACATGCATATTGAACAACCAATCCATTAACATTTATTGTTGATGGATAAGAATGAAATATATCATTATAGCAGCGGAAAAGCAAACCATAGTTAGCTAGTCATGTAGACAACTGAATGAGTCTAATGTCTAGATTGATCGGCTCTGATGGCTCTGATAACACATGTTAGCATTTTGATTCTTAAAGAACATGATCAACCAGATCATTAGACTGCATTTATAAATTTTATCGTTGTCAACATGTAGTATTAATATACAAGCAAAGGATGCAAGACTTACTTGCAGGATTAGCCATGAGATCCAGGCAACAAACTCAAACTCTAATGAACAGATTGTAAGGTTGCTGTGTTAGACTTTATATATTTCATAAACAACTAAAAACACTAACTAAAAAAAATCCATAAATTATACTCAGTTGATAAAGTACTCGAAGTCATCATAGCATGTAGGAAAGACGAACCATCTTTGACAGAATAGTGCAGAATAGGCTCAACCATGGACTTCTCATTCAGTGGAAATCGTATTGGAATCTTGCCGAATAGTATGCTAGTTAACCAAAGTCTTATGCACACTCAACACTCTTTTATACTCGAACTAATGAGGTGTTCATATGAGTTTTTGTGTATTGTGAGCGGGAACCTTAGCCTTGTATTTATAGGAACTTAACCCTAATGAATCTTCCCATAATAATGTCATTAGGATTCCTTGGAGTCCAATGATAATTGATACACCAAATCTCATTCCAAATAGGATAGAATTAGGAGCCCTTATTCTTCAAGGAAATCCGGAATATATTAACTTTACTTGGGGTGCAAGTTATAGCTATTAACTAAATCCTAATCTTATTTATATTCCAAGCAATCTTTGAATTAAGTATGCAGACCTATTAGTCGTTGGATTATGATCCAACGTCCAACATTCTCCCACTAGGTCAAAAAATTAATTCAGAAAAGATCTTTAATGGATTTAT